AATCCACTCTGAAGATTTCCAAACTTTCCAGGCTGGGTCAGGATGGATTTCAAGATAAATCTGCACCAGCGTGCTGTTTGCATACAAACTAAAAAAGGATGCATCCCAGAAAAGCATGCTATCTGGAGACCCTCAGCCCTCCCTCACCCCTCCAAGGGCTATAACACCTCCTGTGCTGCCCTTGCTCTACTCCCAGGCTGGCACAGCATCATCCTTGGTTTATAGACTGGGGAACGGAGGCAGGGTGAAGCAAAGATACATGGGCAGGAGCGCAAACAGCCTCGTGGCATCTCTCACCTCTGGCTCTCGATGGCAAACCTTTCCTTGCTGCATTTAGTACAGCCTGACCCAGCGATGCTCTTGGCTGGGGACACCCAGCACCGCTGTCCCAGCTCTTGTGGAGTGCAAGTAAGCTGAGGGGGTGAAACCCTCTGGATCTCAGGGACTGGGAAGGGTTGAGGCCACCGTGCTGCTAGCTGATGGACCCCAACACCAGGCCAAAGGTACCCTCATGAGCTTGGGACCTTCAGAGTTAATATTCAATTGGTGCTGCATAAAAGGCTTAAAAAATACAGAGGGAAAAAAGAGGGAGAAGGTGAAATAAAGGAAGCGAGAAGTGCAGGGGATCGGCTGTGCGCTGCAGTGAGGGCCATTGCGTGCAGGTGTAGCTGAGAACTGCAGATTGCAGGGTGTCCCTGGCTGGGAACAGTCTGCACCTGGGAGAAGGGAGAAGCAATGCTGGAGGGGAAAGGCTCGCTCCTGCACGTCCTGTCCTGCTGCCAGGACTGAGGGAGAAACAGCAAAGCCTTTTCCTTTTCCCTGGCAGAGCTGATAAATAAACCTGCGCAGGGGGAAGTCTAGTAGAAGGTGTGTAAATGCAGAGGCTTGCACCAGCAGGCAGGTAAGAGAGCCCCCAAACATGCTATTTTTTTGGGCGGCCTGCTGCAGGCGGAGAGGGGTGGCAGTGCTGGAGCTGCCCAGCTGAGCTGGGGTACAACTCCGTCTTGAGGCCGCATCCTGCCAGCGCCGCTGACCTCCCCACTAGCCCCGCTGGTGTCCGTGTTATTATTTGCAGAGGGAAGTGCTACAAGGTAATCAAATGCTGACCTCCAGTTATTAACCTTGTCTTCTTAATCACCTCCTTTGAACGCCTTAATCACTGAACAAGAATCTGCGGATACGCTCGTTTACGCCCCAGATTAACATGCATGTCAGCTCCCTTCCTTTCCTGCCCCGGGGGAGGCACGCTGCGTTGGCTCTCGCTGTGACTCGGTCGCTCACCCCATCCCTAGCAGTGAAAAATGTGGAAGTACTCCTTCCAAAATGCAGTCGTTTATCAGCAAAATTCAGGGAACTGCCCCCACCTTTTCTCTGCTCAGGCAAGGAGCTGGTTCAGCCCTACGCTTGATGAAGGGCCGGTAGCTGGGGGTTGTTTTCGATGTTATTGAGCCTGTGCTCGTTCCTCAGCCGCGTTTAGCCCGATCCGTGGTCTGGCCGCCGGTGCGTTGCGCGGAGAAGGTGCCGCGCGTGCCGCAGGGCTCGGCGAGCTGTGCGAGCTGGGGAAGCAGGGACGGACCTGGCTAAAATCCTCGGCGAGACGGTGCTGGCAGTGCAGGCGTGGGCTCGCTCCCGCTGGGGCTTGGCAGTTTGGGTCGGGACTCGGTGCTTTTGGGCCACGCGTTGTCTCAGCACGGTGCTGGAGGGAGGGGAGACATCAGTGCTGCTCTCCCTGGCGAGCCGACGGGCGGCTGTCGGGGCCGCCGGGCCGTTCTGCCGA